ATCACTAATGTGAAATTATAGTATAAATTACTCAATGTTTTAACCGTCTATTTCCTTTACTAAATCCATCTACAAATCATAATATATATACTATTATATTAATGTCAGTTATACCAATTACAATTAAAATTAATTTAGGTGATCTCATAGGCGTAACTAGACCTTAAAGTTAAGGGGGGCTTCAGCCCTAGAATTTTTATTATAAGTAAATTAAGTGGGAGGCTCTGCCCCCCATACCCCCCTACCCAAAAAAAAAACACTTTACATTCATTGATTATACATATAATATGAATGTAAATTAATATTTAATTATAAAACAAATAATAAACCAAGTGGTATTGAGGTTAAATATTTATATATTAACATATTATTAAGTATTATTTTAGATATAAAGAATTTAACGATTTTTAGTTTATTGACAACTTCTTAGTAGAGAGTATTTGTGTAGTAAAAATTACACAACATGATACGTCTTACACAGGATCATTACATACAATAATATAGTTTAAATTAATATTTTTCCAAGATATTAAATAAAAAAATAAAACGATATTTTAAATTTAAGTTTAAAAATTTTACTAATATTGGCGGGAGTGTGGGACTAGGAATTATGACGGGGGGATGGGGGGGGGTAAAAATTATGTTGGGGGGACTAAGCCCCCCAAGTCCCCCCCTAGTTACGCCTATGGCATGATCTATAGTATGTAATTTTTTAATTAATATTACATTTGATTATAACTATAATTGTTATAATATGATTATTTATTACTTGTGTTAACAATGCTTTTAATAATAATTATACATAAATTATAAAAATTTTAATAGAATACACCAAGATATATACTAAAAAAAGTAAAAAGTTACAATAATACATTTTTAAATATTAAAAGTACAATAATTTTCTATAGTTTTAATATTTAAATTTAAATTTGTATTGATGTTACTAAAAATAAAATGGAATATACATTAAATTAAATTTAAATTATTTAAGCTTGTTATGTATTTTTTTTAACAATGATTAAACGTTTAGCTTTTATTTATGTCATAATTTATATACTATTGTATAACCTTTATGATCATTCACTATACAAATATATTGATATACTTCTTAGAACAAGCATACGATAGCAACTATTTCCGTGGCTGTAAATTAATTTTGTTTAAAATTATATTATGTGTATGGTCGCCATACACATACATATACGAGTATAGTAACATATACTATATACACCGACTATAGATTATTATAGCATCATTATTATTTATTACAATGTTACATTATATTATACCATGTTCAATGGATTGAATGTTAAATTGGCGTTTTACGTGATAAAATATCATTGTTTTATCATTGGACGATACGTTTTTATGAATTAAAAAATTTAATTGTAACGATTATGGTTACGGCAGTCAATAATGTTTATTGTTAGACAATTATCAAATACAATACAAACGAACTTTTCCTTTTTGAAAATTAAAACATTTATGTAATTTAAAGAATACAATAAACCAAAGACTGTAAAAAATGTTTGGATCTAGAACTCTATAAAAATATTTGGAACTCGATCCACATTGGTATCCTTATTAAATTATTTTTAAAACACAAATTTATGATTGTACAGTAAGATTAATTTTAAGTATAAATATATATTTTTTTAAGATTAATTGTAAAAATATATAACACAAGCAATGTATAAATATTGAAAAATATAACAAATTAAATATTTAAGATTCTTTTGGGATAAAAACGGAAATAAATAAAACGTTGATTTGGTTCGTTTTATGGTCCTAAATTATGAAAATTGAAGAATTCTAAAAATTAGAGTCACTTAGTTAAAAATTAGTGCCTACTTTAGCCAAGCAAATATTGGGTCATACTGAACTGAATGGAAACCGTAATTGTTTTGAAAAGCTGAATCAAAAGTGGAACTAAGATTATATTTTTTCTAAGAATCGAAATCGATAGCGAAGGTAACATTTTTATTTTTCTTAAAATCAAATTGTGTTTATATGTTTTTGTACAAAATATTGTCTGTATATTTACTATATTATTGGATATTGGTTCTGTCTGGCCGTCTTAGAGTGTAGTTACATTTATTTTTTTATTTAATTATTGAGAAGTCAGAAGTTATTACGAGTTAAATATGTTACAAACACATACATAAAAGTACATTCTCAAAAAAAAAAAAAAATGTAATATATAAGTATAATAATTGATAGATTTTTTATTTTTATTTTGTTAACCATAGAGTGTGCTATTTTATAAAAGAGAAAAAATATTTGAAGTATAGAAAACAAACATTTGTCATTTGATAGAAACGTTTTAAGTAGCATATAATTAAATAAAAGTATATAAAATAACTAAATGTAATATTTTTGATCAAAGAAGATATACAATAATTTATTATAAAATTATAAAATTATAAATTTATTAAGTCTAGAATTTTATCACGAATAAAGTATTTGAAAGGCTTTATTTCATCTTTTCTGTAATGTCATTACACATTATAGTTAAATCGCATAGTACAGTTTTAATTTAAAATCTTACGTTAAAAACAATAATATTCGTATTTTTTTTTAAAGAAGTTCACTGGATTATTTATCCAATAAACGAGAGATAATTGAGAAGCAGATTACAGAATCTGTATCCAAAACTGTATGTGTATTGTGTATCGAAGATAAATTAATTAGAATTAAGTTATTATATAGGTAGTCAAATTTTTCAGCGCTGTAAAGGTTTGTTAATATAATAAGTCTAAATTTAAATTTAAATTGATCTGAAGGAGTGATAATTTTAATTATCAAATCCAATACCAGCTGGTTTAAGTATATTTTTATGATAAAGTATAAGTGTTCGTTGATTTTGATTTTTTTTTTACGCAAACAATTTTTACGTCTCTCTACCATAAAAGTTTTATGAATACTATCATTCATTTTTAAAATTATACCATAAACTATTATAAAATAACTAAATATATTTTATCAATATTTTATTAACATTACTCATTCGATATTTAATTTTTAATTTTTTCAAACTGGTAAACTGTATAATTAATTACTTTGAGATTAATATTAATTAAATTACTAATTTATAGTGTTACAATAACAAAATAGACATATCTACTTACAATTTTATTTTTTTACTAAATAAAGCCTTGGAGACCATGGACATTGGTGGTAATTGATTGATATGTGTTTACACTTTATCTTAATTATATTTTGTACACATACAAATTCAAATCGTTTAATTAAATTGAATTTAATAATCAAGCTTGCTATAAATTTTAAATTATGTAGGTAAAAAGCTTTCTGATAGAATGTTGGATATTTCAGCTTCTCGTCTCTCTGTTTTGAATGTAAAGAATTTAAAAATTATGTGTTTGGTCGTGAGGGATACGCTACAATTGACACATATAGGGGAATTTTCTTTCTTCATCAGATACTAGTGTGTTACCGAAATGTGTTTGATTCGCATTCTCTTTACGAAAGTTTCTATTTTTCTTGAAATGTGGTAAAGTCTATAAATGAATGGTGTTTTTATATGCCATATGTTTTTGAAATTGTTTTAATTATAAACTTAGCTTCTTGAAAAGTAAAAGAATTAATTATGGTAACATACAAACAAGTTACTGCTTGCCGCTTGACATACGTTTTTATCATCTCTTTCGTTTACCAAGATTTGATTATGCCTTGGGATTTATATCAAAATTATAAAAAAGTCAGAGTTTATTAAATTATAGAGTTGACATTGGATTTTTCTCGCAATCCCATTTGGTACGGATAGGTTTTTAATACTCCTGAATCGTTTAGGATAACTGTTCTGGAGTGAGAATCTTGTTTTTATTAGAATAAAAGCATGAAAAATTTCCACAGTTTCAGCCGTGTTAGTGGACCAAAAATTAACAATTCTCAACATGGAAATGTGATCTTGTAATACAAATACTACAACTGCTCTGACACTATTTTCCATTTTTGATTCATCGGTGTTGAATGTAATTGTCGGTTATAAATTATGGGTAAAACATCATTCTTTGAAAGTTTACTAAGTCCTTTGTTGATGTAGTTGTTTAATATCCAAGGGGCGTCTGCGTGATTTCATTTTTAATAACGTCTGTAGGTAAGGATGGAATGTTCTTAAGACATTTTTTGATTTGTTTCATTACCTTAATATTATTTTGTATTATTTCAGTTGAGAGTAACATGGAAATTTGAAATTTATTAATACTGAAAGATCTTAATATGTAAAATCAATGTATCTTTTAATCAATAAATATGTCTTGATAGGATAATATTCAGTTTTTTAATGGTATAACTAATGTTTTTTTTATGTGTGGAAAAAAGTGCATTGTGACTTTTTTACAAAATAAAAGAAACCTGAGACAAGTAACCAGGCTTATACTTATAATGATATGTTTTTTTAGTATTATATTTCATATCGTCTTCAGAATTTTTTGTAGAAAGTACTTAATGTTCATTTTTTTTTTTTTTTTTTGAATTTAAAGAAAAATCAAAATGGAATTTTCGATTGCTTATACATTTTTATGAGAATATTGGATTAATGGAGCACGAGAATATTTCTTGAAAATGTTCTCGAAACAAAATGTAATAAAAAAAATATGTTACTGTGAAATCAATTACATCTTGTTTTATGTAGGATCTGAAATTTATTACCACTGCATTTCATATAGAAACAGTATTATTAGATATTTACATGTTTTCATGTATACGTTTTTTGAACTTTACTAAATAAAATATTTAATGGTTTATATTGTAGAATTTCATCTTTGATACGTATGTTCAAGAAAAACGTGACTATACAGTTATTATAAGTTACTATAACACTATAGTATAGTAAAAAATTGATAATAGATTAAACGGCAATATAAGTTTTCGGATATTAATCTATAATTGTCAAATTTAAGTATTTGCCAATATAATATGTAATTTACACATTACTTTATATTATTAATTTAATTAAATATTTTTATTTTATTTTATAGATTCACGAGCAATATTGGTTAATATTTCCAGTTTTATTACAAAAAATGAATATAATTAGTATCATATAAACTCGTTATACTACTGAAGGTAAGTCTTTTGAATTTTTAATAATGTGTTTATTTTTTGTTAAAGATATTAAACATGATCGATTTATTTACAATTTTACCGTACATACCTTACACTTTACAGTGACATATTTTTAAACGTATTTGTTTAGTCGAGTTAATAATAATTATATAAGAAAAATATATGTTATATTAACGTTAAAGTTATCATATAAATTTATTTTATAATGGATAGATTGTAAGTGCTACATATATTTTATAAAAATGTAAATTTAGACGAATAATATTATTATCTTTAAAACTTTTTATATTACGAAGTTTGAAAGAAAAATTACTTCATGTTTTGCACTTAATTAAATATTTGTTTATGTACGCACTCATTGTTATATATAATAAGTTATAATCTTCATAAAAACATATAAGGTTTTCTAATTTTATTTTTTATTTTTATTAAATGAGTAAAATTATCAATTCTGGTAACTAAGTATAGTGGAATGTATTCAAAATGATTAAAAAAAAAATACTTCCACGTGGGCATGAAAAAAAAATATACCTTTTTATAAATAACAGAATACAAAATATATACCCAATATATTACATATATATACCTATATATTACCATATTGATCGGTAATCGATGTTTCCTGACCAAATTTCTAAACCTTAAATGTGTATACGGGTTTTTTATAGTTGAATAAAAATATTTTTTATTTGATGACCTACCTACCCACTCTAGTGCGTTCGCTGCGTTTTGTAAACATAGAAAGTACAAGTATGTTTCATATTAGTAAAAGCAATGCATTGTAATTTATAATACGGGTAGTAGATTGTGCACTGCAGCTATTGACTGCCAGATACGTGAATTTTTGACTACCCAAAAATGAAATTCTCGTCAAGTTATTTAGACTAAAAAGGTTATTGCGCTCAAACGGCATACCAGCTCCAGGCACCCTTTCATGTGTATAATGTTCATAACATTTTACCTACCTACTGCAGTGTAATTATGCCTAATACGCTGTAAAATAGTTATCTTTTATAATAATTTATGAATTATGTGGTTGGTCATTATATACCACAAGATGCTTGAGTATTAATATACATTTATCGTGTATGAATGTTTCAGTACGGTTATTATTATAACAAGCCCAGCACAAGTCGATGCTTGTTTCGAGTTACCACGTCATCACGTGTTATAAATCAATAATTCTAAATCATTATAAAAGCATTGCTCACTATCTTTTTTGAATAATATCTTTACGTATCAGACCTACGTATAATCTATTCGTTTGACATGCAAATGTTTAATAATTATATCAAGTATAATATTATACACTAATACCGTGCCATAATTTCAACAACTTAATAAAAAAAATATAAATAATTAAATAATTTTTTACATTTAAAAAAAGTATACATTTTTAGAATTTGAAGCGATTTGATTTTACAGTGATATATGTTTTATTTTATATCTGTCATTACTTTTTGAAGCAATAAAAATGAAGTAGGTAAACTAGTTTTAAAAATATTGAGATAGTATATTACTTTTGAACTAAGTATTTATATACATTTTTAAACATTTGACTCTTTTAAGTTTATTTATATAGACCTAGATAAAAAAGAAGTGTTTATATGGTCATAAAACTTGAAAATTTAATACGATTCTCTACTTAAGCTATTATTAACATTGTTTAAAAAAAAAAATAAAAAAAAAACATAAGCTCAACGAATATTATGCTTATAATATTAGTTTAAAAGTATTTTAAATTCAAATTTCGATAAAATTCGATAATATAGTTAAAAATGCACATGATGTTCAATATTTATAAATAAGTCATGTATGTTTAATAATGGTTCCTCATGAGTAGGTAATTTATAATTACAGTATATCAGATACTTATTTTTAAAACATTAATGATGAATATATTTAAATACTTGGTAATTTATCTATTTTATTATTAATTTTATATTTATTTACAATTATTATTTATTTTATTTTTATTTTAAACATGAAAATATTTTTTCAGATTAGTAAGAGATTTTTATGTATATACAAATAGAATATATTGATACAGCAATTGATTAGATATAAATATTTAAAATAGGTAAATAGATAAACCGAAAAATTTGCTATAATACCAGTTCTCATCAACTTACATAATAATAAAATAAACTAACAATATCATTAAAATTGGGTTTACTGAAAAACTGAATAATATATTACTTAATGGTTTTTTATTGTTTTTTTTTTTTTTTTTATAATTAGTTATTAGTAAAAGAGTATTCTGCTTAGGAATAAGATAATTAAAAATAAACGTTTAAATACAATTTAACAGCTGAAACTGAAATTTAAAAAAAAAAAATGTTTATACTTTAAATGAGTGTTTATTATTAAGAAAATTAAAACAATAAAATATACATAAACAAACACAAATTATATTATATATTGCATGCACAAATATTGTCGGCTGATAGTGTAGTGCAAGTGATTTTCGACTCGTTTAAGTTATCGAGCACGGTCAGAGGTAGCCATAGTTTAACCAGATGTTCTCAAGAAAAAAAAATATCGCTTATAGATTATTATATTATGTTAAACTGCGTGTGTACACGAACAATGGGAAATGATAGTTATATGTACCTAAACGTACGCTCATGATGGTGCATAATGTTCATGTATGATATTATATTTATGTGTGTATGTTTAAAATAAGTGGTTCGTTCGGCTTTTTCGGATTTTCCGAACGATTTGCCCGCAGAAACACAATCCTCGGGTCGCTCATTGTTTTGTTGCGGTTTGATTTTCGGGCACCTCGAATCTTCTCCTCAACGACCCTCCGGCTCATCCGCCAATAGGTATCTACCTAACCACACCGCGGTTGTTTTCGAATTTACGCTGCGGCAGTGTAAGGGTGTGTTGGCATCGTATTATAATAATAATAATAATAATAATAATAATAATAGTAATAATAATAATCATAATAATCATAATAATGACTGGGTGAGTGTGTTTGCACATTTAATAGAAAACGGCCAAGAGAAAAGCCAGGCGATGCATGAAATGTACAGATAAGCTCCTCTTGCTCATCTATAACCATACTATCCGGAGGTCGAGAGAAAATTCGCCGTTGTTTGATCGTAAGCTCCAAATTCACATTACCGTAGTTTCATTCAAAATGTCACGATAGATATTGCGAGCTGTAAATTAATTTACAACTTAATTAATGCAGATACTATTATATTATACCCTGAACTGAATGTATGAACATAATTCCCCCTCCCCCTAAATCATTTTTGATTATTCGAACACTGCGTTTTGTACTTCTATTCCGCTTTTTAACAACCTTTCAGTTAGTGTTATTTAAATGAAGATATGATATGATGTATAACAACATTACATTCACTATTAATATAAATCCAATTATAATTATTACCGTTTAGCAGACAAATGAGACAAATGATAAATAAATTTTTCTTTGGTTTGTATAAACTATATTAAATCATAAATGCATTACTTCTTTACCGTGTATAATATTATTTTATTTGAAAACATTAACTTACTCGTAAGTTTATTTTCAATATCGTGTTTTAGCAATAAAAATATAATTTAAAAGTTTGTTTTCGAGCAGATTGAAAATAAGTAGACGAGTTTTAAATTGAAGGAAAATGTCCACCGAATATGTTTAAGAAAAAGTTGGCTAAATAACATTAAAGAAAATATGAAAAAATACATAAAAGAAAAAATACAAATATAATGATTGTTGTAAATTGAATTTAACATTTTTAATAATAATAATAATAATAGTATTAATGATATTTTATTCGTCTGATTTTAATGATGAACACCATTAATGCACTCATCATAATATATAAACAAAGTAAGTAAAGTAAACGGTACATTTTTATTTCTTATAAAATAATTACATACTTTTTTCGATTATAGCTTTGGTGAAAAGGGCTGTGTATATTTTAGTTTTATAAGTTTATTAAAGGCTTCGATTAAGTTTTAAACAGACTAACTAATCATTAATATTTTGGTTAACAGTATGTATAACGTTTTTACTATAATTTTCACTTTACAATACTTACTATCAATCATCGGAATTTCGAAAGCTATATCATTAAGTTTTTACACAGAAATTCTGCGTGAAAAGTTTCAAAAAAATTAGGTATAGAATTTCAAATCTTATAAAAGTCTACTTTACGTATAATATATATATTTGAAAATTTTTCGATGGGTTTTTCAAAGCGTTGACTTTAATTTAATCCATTTACCTACATGTTCCTTTTGTTTGATTGGTATTTGTTTTTTGTATAAATATAGGCTGTGCAAGTTCGTAGTATAAAAGCAATTCAAATAATTCAATTAATCACTCTACGCATGACAACTAATGCTCCTTAGTTTGTAACCACTCTGCAGAATTGAAAATCAAATCAATTAACCAAGTGATCACTAAACACTACACTTAATTTAACCAAAAATTACAAATTTATATAAACACATTAGTATCACAAATTTTGCAAAAAAAACTATATATTAATTGTATGTATTGATTAAAATTAAAATATCGAAAAACAAGGCCTATTCAACTAAAATATTATAAATATATATATATATATATTAAATATTTTTATTAACAGCGTGATTACAATCCTAAGTACAACTAAATAACTTAGTTGCATGAACTTGGACTGAGATGGGGTTTTCGACAAATGAAAGAGACTAGCTGTGTACCCGAATATATTATTTGAGAAAATTCAAAATTTTTACCCTTTCGGTATACTCATGCGCAATGCAACTTCCTTTTTTTTTAATGGTAACATCTATATTTATCTATACTTTCGGATAGATTATTTTTTTTAAAACTATTTTTATACAAAAAGTTATTTCTTATTTACAAAGTTGGCCATATTAAAATAAGTTCAAATTTAAATTTATGTATAATTCGTTAGTATGTTTTTAACAAAATTTTAACTTATAACTAGAAATAAGTACCAAATTATAATTGTTATAAATTATTTAGTTAA